AGGAAACATTCTTAGAGTCTCCAGAAAGAAATACAGGTGTGTCAGCACCTTAATTTCAAATCGTTGAAATCTGTGCCTGATTTCTCACCTATAGAACTGTAAGATAATAAATTTACGTTATTCTAAGCCTCTAGGTTTATGGCAGTTTGTTACTGCAAAAATAGTAAAACCAATATACCTCAAGCCCACTGCTGCCTCAGCCATCCTGACCCTCTTGGGAGTCTCAATCCAGTAACAAAACGGGTAACACCTGGCAAAGCAGAGTTCCCTGGAGCCCTGTTCCAACACGACAACCAGCTTTAGTTCTGACTGAGCTATGCCCAACATTACCAGTTGTGAAATATTTTGAATATTACTTTTTTCACTTTTTTTTGTTGACTTACAATCATTTTACAATGTTGTGTCAAATTCCAGTGTAGAGCACAATTTTTCAGTTATACATGAACATATATATATTCATTGTCACATTTTTTTCTCTGTGAGCTACCAGAAGACCTTGTGTATATTTCCCTGCGCTATACAGTGTAATCATGTTTATCTATTCTACAGTTTTGAAATCCCGTCTATCCCTTCCCACCCTCCATGAATATTACTTTTAATTTCAGGGCAGACATACATTCCCACACACAAATTATTTAACTGAAACGAATGTTTCATGAAACATTATTTAGCTTTACTACATGTGTTGCACTTCGATATTTTCAGTTCTATTCTCTTCTGTTTTTTTTAGGGGTAAATTTCAACCCACTAAACTGATTTCATGATTCACTATCAGATTGCAACCTTCAGCTGAAAAACACTGACCTAGATCCTAATAACTCTATAGTTAAGATGTAGAGTTTCTGATGGAGAATATATTCTGTTCCATTTTTAAAGTTTGGGATTTAAATAGTTTCTATATGTAACCTTAATTCATTATTACTAAATGTTATTTATTGATGTACTAAAATTTTATTAGTTTTCTCAAGGTGAACATCAAACCCATGACGATTTATAAATTAAGCGTGACAGTAAGCAAGAGGGGACTACAACAAGGAGAAGGTACATTTTAGAAACAATTCTTTAAAACTGAAGTATAGCTGATTTATAATGTTGTGTTAGTTTCAGGGGCTCAACAGAGTGATTCAGTTATATGTGTGTGTATGTGTGTGTGTCTGTGTATATATATGTTCTTTTTCAGACTGCTTTCCATTATAGGTTATTACAAGATACTGAATTGAGTTCCCTGTGCTATACAGTAGGTCTTTGTTTAGAAACAATTTTTAAATGAATATTCATTGGTACATATTGTTCTGCTTTTCTGTTGCTCAATTTGTTCATTTCTGCTTTTATTTTTAATATTTCCCTTTTTTGTGCTAGCCTTTAAGATATTACCCATTTCCTTCTCTAGATTTTTTAGCTTAAGTTACTGCCTTTCTCTCCTTTTTTCTTATTACTATTTACAGCTGCAGCAGCATTTCAAGCCCTTACACTTTGTTTCAGTATCCTCTTAATCTGAGGTCCTGATAGAGTTTAAATGTGCATTTAAAATTGTCTACTAATTCAATTAGCTTTTCTAGGTGTTGACAGCAAAAGGGTTTGAGGATTATGCTATGTATTAGTTAGCTTTCACTAGGTTATGTTGTGGAACAAGCCATCCCCCAAATCCTAGTGGCTTACAATAGCAATGATTTAGTATGCATTCACTGCACCTGTTGGCTACAGCACTGTTCTGGGATCTTTATTCCAGAATGCAGACTGAAGGAGAAACCTCTGTGAAACACGCTGGTTCATAGCTGAACCACAGGATGTCTCTTAAAGCTTGTGCTCAAATGTGGAGCATACATCACTTCTGCATACATTCCATAGCCCAATGAAAGTCATAGGACTAAACCTAATGGCATAATCCATTGATAGGCAGGACAACAAATACTAGGAAAGAATAATAAAACCTATTCCCTTGTTATCCCCCATACTGCTGCAACCAGAAAGGTTTGTCCTTGCAGCTCTATCAATTCAAAGCTCTAGTTTATTGTTGGATTATATCTGAGACTTACCGTTACAGCGTTTTTGTTTCCATTTTTAAATGTATCTTTAATCATGTTAAAATACTGTTTGTCTCCCTTAATGGTTTTTGCTGTAAAATCAGCTATGTGGATCATGTTTTTACAGGCCACACCAGGCTGTGGCTACTGTAGCTTATAATAACATTAAGAAAACAGTATTTTTCTAGCTTAGCCCACATCCACAGCAAAGCAAGACCTCATCTCTGAAAATTCACTAGGTATTTGTGTGCTTCTGCAAGGAGTCCCGTGGTGCCCAGGAGGGTCTTTCTTGGTACTTAGCCAGCCTGGGTCTCTGGTCTGCTGAGAGAGAAGCAGTGTTTCCTGCCCTCTCCAGACATCTACGGAGCAGTGCTGCACTGCATGTCACACCTTCAGAGGCTCCAGGGATATCACTCTTTTCTAAATTAATAGCCATCTTTCCCTGGAGCTTTGGCTAAAGTTCCTAGTTGCTGGGACACAACTGTATAGAGAATATTATGATTAATACACTGTACCAAACTCAAAATTACTCTGACAGCCAAACCTTATATTTCAATAAGCTTATATCTCTTTCCTTCCCCCATCCCCCTTCCTCTCTACTCTCTACCCTCCCCATCTCCAGCATCCCGTCTCTCCTCCCCCTCTACCAGAGGCTTGTCTGCTGTTCACGCTGATAGATCTGCTAATAGCTAATCCCACCCTTGGAGCTCTATGAAACTGATATAATTTGAACACCAGGTTTTTATTCTGCTTGTATAGGCAATATGAATTGGAAGTCATTCTCCTTGCTTTTTAAAATCTTCCTTATTTTAAAACATTTAATCACAATAATCACACATGGAAAAGAAAACAATAATATAATAGGGCTTATAATGAAAACCATAGTCTACCGCCTCCCTCCTCTCCCACTCTAATTCAGTTTCCCAGAAGAAACCACTTTTGGGGGGTTACTTATGTTTTTAATGGAGATTCTGGGGATTGAACCCAGGACCTCATGCATTCTAATCATGTACTATACCACTGAGCTATACCTTCCCCACCAGGAACCACTATTAATTGTTTCTTTTTCAAGGCTTTTTGATGGTTACTTCTCTAATTCTAAACAATGAGCCGTCACTGCTGTTTCTTGATTTACTGGTGAATCACTGTACTAGGGGTGAGAAGATTAGTTCCCTGCTTCTTCCAGCTCTTCTCCTCCATCCTCCTCCTGCTTTCCGTACTTATATCTTTCCTTTCAGATTATAAAGATTACCATTTATATTTTCTCTAGTAACTATAATTAAGTTCTCCCTGTTCGGTTCATAGGCTGCTTCTAAAAATTGAAAACTACTAACCATCATTGACATAACTGTGTTAATATTGTTGATAGGAAAATTAGATGCTAGGATTTCATTTTCCTCTCCACAGGGGTTCTACAGATCATATACAGATCTACTGCAAATTTAAGATGATACGGTTTCACTTGGCTGGTTTGATTTTATATTTTCATCTCTTTTCACTTATGCTGAAAATCTTGGCTCCAGGGACAATAACGTAACAGTCAGTATTTAGAGGTCTATTTTACACTCTTTTACCCCTAAAAGTTTTATTTTTAAAAAAAGTCTAACCTACAGAAAAAGTTGAAAGAATAGTACAATAAATGCCTGTATATCTTTTATCTTGATTCACAAATGGTTAAAATTTTTTGCCACGTTTGCTTTATTTCTCTTTTTTGCTTTTGCTGAGTCATTTGGAAGCACATTATAGATAGCATGACTATTCACCACTTGCATGTGAAACAAGGACATTTTCTTATAAAACCACAATCTCATTATCAGACCCAAGAATTTTAGTATTGATCCTATAATACCTATGGCATAATCCATATCCAAATTTCCCCAATTATCCTCCCAAATATCCTTTATAGCTTTTCTTCTATCCAGAATTCTGTCAAGGCTTACTCATTACACATAATGGAGATATCTCTTATGTACACCAGTGTTTAGAGCAGCACTATTTGCAGTAGCCAAGAGATGGAAGCAACCTAAATGTCCATCAACAGATGAATAGATAAATAAGATATATAAAAATATATACATATGGTTTATATGACATATATACACACACATATATATATACATATATACATGTGCACAATGGAATCTTACTCAGCCATAAAAAAGAATGAAATATTGCCATGTGCACTAACATGGATGGACCTAGAAATTACATAATAAGTGAAGTAAGTCAGACAGAGAAAGACAAATGTTACATGATAGCACTTATGCGTGGAATCTAAAAATGCAATACAAATGAACCTATATACAAAACAGAAACAGATTTACAGACATAGAAAACAAACCAAAAAAAAGTGCTGAGTTTGACATGTTGTTTGAGATGTGTGTTGATAACTGGGTAGTGTTGATAACTGAGATGTTGAGTGTCTAGATGAACTAGTATCTAGATGTACCAGTATCTAATGTACCAGTCTGGAGATCAGGGAAGTGGGCTAGGCTGGAGATAAATATCTCTGAGTCATCAGAGTATACATGATATTCAAAGTCATGAGTCTGGATGAGAACATTTAGGAAATGAAAATAAGATTTTTTTAAAAAGGAAAAACAGAGGTCTGAAAACTAAACCCTAAAGCATCCAAAATTCAGAGCCAGATAGGAGAAGTCGTCAGAGGAGACTAGCAAGGAGAGGCCAGTGAGGAGAACAAGGATGGCAGCCTAGAGTCAAATCAACAAAGTGTTCCCACAACCCAGGGTTCCAAAAAAGGAAGTACAACTAAAGTGCTTAACAAATGAGGATAACACAGTAGTTTATCTCCCTACATCACCTGATATAAAACGCCAGAACTTTTACGGTAAAGTGATATTCTTCAGGGATTTTTAAATAAAATAGTCATTATTATGCAATAATAGGTTAAATAATAGCTGAATGTCACTAGCAATCTCAACACTTAAGTCTGTTTTTTACCACCTTACATTGTAGTGAATACTCTGTACTCCAACAAGAGTCCTGAAGAGCCAACACTCATCCCCGAGCTGCTGCACTATCAACCACTGTTGGCTCACAGACACAACTCTTGCTGGGAACACCTCTTGGCTGCAGGAATCTGCTTCTGCCAAAGTTATACTCCCTACCAGGAGACAGCCCATATCAAATGAACACAAAGCTGGGCCCCTCTGCCTCAATTTGGAACAACTCTGAAGGGTCATCCCCCTCCTGAACTCCCCAATGGATGACTGAGGCCTCAGCTGAAACCTCTCTGAGGTCAGTTTCTCCACTGTTCAATCCTACCTTCCTCACTTCCTCAGAGGTATCTCTCTAATAAACTTCATCATGCAACTCTCCAGCCCAGAATTTGTATGTAGGGAGCCCACTCTAAAACAATACATCCTACCAGGGGCACTACTGTCCTCCAACATAATCGTGCCATTTACATTGTATGGTAATTATAGAATTTATTATTTGTTGAAAAGGCCAGGTCTTTTGTTTTGTAGAATTTTCCATATCAGGAATCAGCTGATTGTGTCCCTGTGTATATTCTTATTCTGATATTTTCTGTAAACTGGTAGTAATACTGGAGACTTAATTAGGTTCACTGCCACTCATTTACACCTGGTATTCTGAAACCTTTCTTTTACTTTCCTTTTCCTACTCTGTGAAATTTAAATATTACTTATCTGACGCTAAGAAATGATGAAAATCAAAGGTCCCCAGGATCAGGAGAGATTATTAATAATTCTAACTCCCTCCCCTACTCCCATTCCCCCAACCCCCACCCCTGCCCCAGACTCGGTATATGCAACCTAAAGGCCTTCCAGATACATACTCAAGACTGGGAACAAATGACTGGAGGATGTGCTTACCTCTGTTTACAGCCTTTAAACACTAAATACCTTCCTCCCAAAGCAGAGTCTGATGATCTCATTCTCATCTAGGAAGAGAACCAAAGACAGCCATACCATCTCTGATTTATTTGCATGAAGAATTCCACGTTGTTGCTAATTTTAAAAGCCATCCTGGCTTTCTTCTGTCAAATGGTTTGATTGTGGATCGCATTCTTTCACCAACAGCTGGTGTATTCAATTAATCAACATGCATTTATCAAGCACCTGCTGTGTGATCAACGTCATTCTTGGAGAATTCATGCTGATTAAATTCTCTGTAAAACAATTAAGAAGCTGTATCTTGTTTCTGCTACCCCCAGGTCCCACCCCCGATTCCCACCAATGCATTACAAAATCAAATAGATGCTCTTTTTGTATCAATTTACTGTTTTGAATTATCTACATCCTGCTCCATTCTGTTGAGAGTTGATAGCACCCTGGACAATTATGATTTTTCTAAGGTAGACAAGGCAGTTTTGCATAAATATATATTCCTCTCCATAATTATGTTCTTTTGTGTATCCCTTTTTAAAGAAATTTGCTATGAGTTTTTGTTCATTCTATTTTTTTTATTAATGTCATTTCAAGTAACAGAAACCAGATTGAGCTGGCTCAAGGGAAAATAAAAACTTATTGGAAACACATTAGGCTCTCTCACGGAATCCAAAGAAGAACTGAACCACCAACCAGGCCTCTGGAAGGGCAGAAGACAGGGAAGCTCTGGGGACCCTGACAACAGCTGCTCACGAACGGTCTTTTTGGAATTCTGCCACTAACAAGACTCAGAGCCAAACTTCTCCCATCTCTGTGTATCTCAGTTCAAAATTCAAATTCCTGGGAGGGAGAATCTGATTGACTGAGCTGTGGTCAGAAGGCTGCTGCTGTTCCAATGAAGTGCAGCCGGGAGGCAAGGTCACATGCTCTATATCCACACTGTCCAGTACAGGAGCCATGAGCCACGTGTGGCTATGGAGCACTGGAAATGTGGCTAGGACACTGAGGAGCAGAATTTTTCATTTTATTTAATTGCTGTTAACTTAAAATTTAAAACTGAAACAATATGAAATATTTTCCCATTACATACAACTTTATTTTTTTGGTAGAACTTCATTTCACTTGTTAAAATTTACCCTCTGAATTGAGATGTGCTTCCAGCATAAAATACTCATCGAATTTTGAAGACGCTATGAAAAAATAAAAGATATTAAATATCTTGTTAATAATTGTATTTATATTGATTACATATTGAAATTATGATATTTGGGATATCTCAGATTAAATAAAATATTTAAAAATTAGTTTTACATATTATTTTTTACTTTTTGAAAATATGGCTACCAGAAGATTTTAAACTCTATATGCCATTCACATTATATTTCTACTGGACAGTGCTCTTCTGAATAGCTACCAAGTTTCTGTTCCTGAGGATCAAGGCTCGTTCCACAATACTGGATGAAAGTTCTGAGCAGAAGAGACACCCCCAAAGGGGTCAACTACACAGTACAACTAACATATGCAGAGATTTCTGGAGCAACATAATGTACTCAATCTATAGCAGAATACATCTCTTCAGCATTATTTGACTACTTCATTGCAGTATTTGTTATATCATTAAGAAATACTGAAAACTGTTATCTCAGACTTTAATGTTTGATGCTACAAATTTCCATTCAACTAACATTTATTGGCAAAGCCCCTGTTCTCACAGAGCTGAAATTCTGGTAGAGGGGAGAATCTGCAATAAGCAGATAAACAAAGATGTAAAGCCCAGGTATTAATAGATGCTCTGGTGGAAAAAGAAGTAAGGAGAGAGAGAATGACAGGCGATGCTCTTTAGCTGGATAATTAGGGTAGACCTTCCTGATCCTGTGACATTGAAGTAGAGATTGGAATGAAAGGGGTGTCAGGTGACTCTCAGGAAAAGCAATCTTCCTGACTTTTGAACAGGATTAACTCAGGATGTGTCGGGATCCACAGGGACGCTTCTCAGGCTAGAGAACAGGAAGAATGGGGAACAAGTGAAATCAGAACAGGTAGTCTGAAGCCAGATCTTTTAGGGTCCTCAAGGCAAGATAAATGTGAGTGAAAGCCCTTGCAGTGTTGAGAACAGAGAATGAGACCATCGTGTTTACATTTTTTTCTTTGGTCCACAAATCACACAGGCCAGACGTGAAATTTTATGACCAAGTTTTTCCTGTGGGTTTTATCCTCATAGTTTTATCAAAAACGTATCTACTCTGGACTGAGGCAAAATGGCAGGCTCGCAGTGAGCCACTGTGAAGGGATGAAAAAAGATATACCTAGAAGCAGATTTGAAAAGCAGTTTCTCCTCAAATCATCTTACTTCATGCCACCTGATAAGCATCTTGATTCACCATGGCATTAGCAGCAGTAAAATGGGGGATAGCATACAGAACTATCTTTAAACATTTAATTCCCATTCAAAATGGAGCCTTGTATTGTGTGTCATAAATCCACGTCTTCTCTTCCAGATGACTATAATTGCAAAGTAGAGCTTGCTTTGACATCTGATGGCAAGACAATTGTATGCTATCACCCTTCTGTGGACAGTCCCTGTGAACACACAAAACCTATCCCTCAGCCAGATCTTGTGCATAATAATGAAGAAACACATGATCAAGTGCTAAAAACTAGCTTGGAAGAAAAACGTGAACACTATGAGCAAGGACCTATGATAGAACAACTTAGCAAAATATCCTTTACTACTGAGCACTGTTGGTATTTTCATGGACAGTATCATCAGACATCATAAAAAATGATCCTCCCAAAGACAGATGATATTGAGGTTTTCAGAAATCAAAGAAAAATATTATCCTGTATCTCATTTGCCATTTGAGAAAATGCAATTGGGTATATTCATTCATAGGTTATATAGTAAAATAAAATGTCTTTTCATATATTAAAAAGAATTATTCACTCTTACTTTATTTCCTTATTCTGTATTTGTCTTATGAAAAACTAAACGGATTATGAAATATTAATAAAGATTTATGAAAAAATAATTGAAAAATTAAATCTAGAGATATTTATCTTTTCAGGACTCAAATTAATTCTTTATAGCTCTTATGTTATAATACCTACAATATTATCCTCTTTTTTCTTCTTTCTTTTTCAGTTTTATTAGGTAGAATTATTACAGTTTGACTGCACAAATACATCATATTGCATGTAAATAGATATATACAATATACTGCACATTTTTTTAGTTTACATATATGTACTGATCATTGTTTCTAAGAACAGATTAGAGCTTTAGCTGTTTAAACTTACATAGTTATCAAAGGAATAAAGCCAACCACAAAATAAGAATCAACAGAATATTGGACATATCCAATCATAAAGGACAGTCAAATGTGCTTACACATATTCAAGAAATCAATCATCTAATTATAATAATTATTATAAATACTAAGTAGTTCATTTGTGTCCTTATTATTTACAATATTGTCCTCTTAAAATGAAAGATGTGTAAATTTTTTAAAATGGGTCTTGTGTCAAGACAGCATCCAGAGGTCTGAAAATAGCTTTATTTAAAAATGCAAAGTTACGTTTGGTTTCCCCCAAATTACTCCAAATATTACTCCTAGAGAGAGCTTTCTTTTCTTAGAGAGAACTTCTGGATTTTGTTGGCAAGTGTCCTCCCCCCTAGAGAATTTGATTGGATAAGAATCTGTTCCTCGTGGTCTTTTGTGGTTTCTGTGGCTTAAGACTGTGATGAGTGGATCAGACCTGTAATGTTTTCATAAATTATACTCCTGCTACCTTTACAGCATGTCACTGGCACAAAATTCTAACTCTGCTAATTACATTAGGAAGAATGAAGTTGTTTTCCACTAAAAGTTAGAATGCTTTGAATTCTTTTATACTTCTCTCAACTCTTACTGCTGTGAAAACACCATCCTGGAGAGAGAGTATGAAACTGTATATAGCTAAAACGTGCTGAACACATAATAGGGACTCTCCCCCAGAGGAGCTCATAATCACAGAACAAGTGACATCTTGTGTTGTTTTTGCTAATGAATAGTTTATCTTAAATATTAAAATGCCACATTCTTCACAATTGTCTTAGCTTAACTGGAAATGACTTGAAAAATAATTTGTTTTAAAATTTAGCAGATTAAATGCAATGTGCTCTCCTGGATTTGATCCTGGAATAGAAAAAGAACATTAGCGGAAAATTGGGGAAATCCATATACAGTCTGCAGTTTAGTTAATCGTAATTTATTAATGTTAACTTCATAGTTTTGACAAATGTACCCTGGCTAGGTAAGATGGTAATATTAAGGGACATTAGATGGTGGATATACAGGGATTCTATTCTTCTCTGTAACTCTTCTGTAAGTCTAAAATTACTCTGAAATTTGAAGTTGTTTTTAGCTCAAAAAATTTAGCTGAACATTGAAGTTGTATTTTCCAGTCTTTGTCCATGAACAAAGGGGCCAGGCTTGCAATTCCAGGGTTCTGGATTGGACTTGGGACTATAGGGGAAAATAAGACAGAGAACCAAGATGCACAACCAAAAAGACTGGGACAAAGAGAACTTCTGGGCAAGGAAAAGGGACAAAGCTGGCAGAAAGCTGACTGGATGGGAAATCTCTAGGCTGTGAATATAAGTAGCCACTAAATGCTAATATGAACCTAGAATTGAGATTTTAATCACAGATAATGTTACAAAAACAGAACATGTGTAGATGAGAATGATGGATAAAGCACAGGTTGATGCACCTTTTCATACTACTTTTGAAATTTAGACTCTACCTGTCAAAAATCTGGAAGCTGCCGGTTGACGAAAACTAAGGAAGCTGCTGCATATTTACAGGATTGGCTCTTGCATTTCTGATGGTGTGAAGACAGGGTGACCAAGTCTTCTGTTGTTTTCCTTGTTCTCTGGTTCTGGCTCTTTCTCATTCTGTTTGAGATCACCTTGCAATTTTTAAGCATGAGGGTGTGATCCTAAGAAACTTTTCTCCTCATATATTTTCAGTTTTAGATTTGATGATTTTTATGTAAAGTACTAAATTCTTTTAAAGAACTTTAAAGCTACAAGGTAGCTTGCAGTCTACCTAAGCATGGATTCCCACCCCTCTTTCTTTTCTCCAGGAAACTCCATCTGATTGGAGGTGGGCACATGACCCAGGCCCAATCAAACATGGTATCCCATTTCTCTGGACCTTCTGACAAACTGGGATGATGCAAGCATGGCGATATTAGGAAGAACTTGCTAAGCTAAGAATTCAAGGGCCAAGCCTGAGTTCAAACTTCCCTGAAAGCAGAAAGGCCACGGCACACTGGGAGGCCCCTCTGCCCCCAGCCAGTAATTGAGGACCACTGAGGGTCAAATAATAATTCTTGCTGATTTGAAAAAGCTGAACTCTATGCTCCAACTAAAATTAATACAGAGGAGGAATGCAGGAATCACACCAGAGACTTGGTAAAAATTAGGAAGCCTTGTTTCCCTTGCCCCTTTCTCTTAAACAACTGTGCTATTCCCTGCCAAATATAATTAGTAATCATGCCCCTGGAAAAACACTACCCACTGAGTTACAGCCAAGAGGCAGGTTAATCATTATGAGAGACAGTAAATCGAGAGCCTACAGGGTGGGCAAAGCTGAGATCTGTTGCTAAGAGACAGAAACTGCAAGGGTTGGGGGAGGTAAGATTTCTGGTATTTGTGCCTAGTTTATGGAATCCCCAGATATAAAACTGGCAAAAAGCCAGTTGAGTCTGAAGAGAGTTGTACTGCCAGAAAAACCCAACTTGGAAACAAGCTGATAAATGTTCAAAGTCTAGGGCAATACCCAGGCTCCATAATGAGGCCAACAAGAAGTTGATGGCTACAGTAGTGCCATCCTGGAACATGCTGTGTAAGGGAGACTTGCTTCTCACATGTGCAGACTCAGGGGCAGCAAGGTTGAATCACTAAAGAATTTCTCTGCAAGGCAAGCAATTTAGATGATATTTGCATTGCAGGACCAGGAGGAACCCGATCTCCACCTGAACAAGAAGAAAGCATATGACCCAGAGATGCTTGACTTTAGGACAATGTGGGCTGTCTTGCTGAGGTATGAATTGTACATGAAGGTTTTGAATTAAAGTTGGTATGGTCA